CTGGACATTACTGGACATTACTGGACATTACTGGACATTATTGGATATTATTGGACATTACTGGACATTACTAGACATTATCGGACATTATCAAACATTATTGGACATTATTGGACATTATGACATTATTGGACATTGATGGACATTATTAGACATTACTGGACATTATTGGACATTATTTAACATTATTGGACATTACTGGACATTACTAGACATTATTTAACATTATTGGACATTACTGGACATTACTAGACATTATCGGACATTATTGGACATTATCGGACATTACTGGACATTTTTGGACATTACTGGACATTAATGGACATTACTGGACATTATTAGACATTATTAGACATTATTAGACATTACTGGACATTACTGGATATTATTGGACATTATTGGACATTATTGGAAGTTACTGGCCATTATTGGACATTATTAGATATTACTGGACATTATTAGACATTACTGGACATTATTGGATATTATTGGACATTATTAGACATTACTGGACATTATTGGACATTACTGGACATTATTGGACATTTTTAGACATTACTGGACATTATTAGACATTACTGGACATTATTAGACATTACTGGACATTATTGGACATTATTGGACATTATTGGACATTATTGGACATTACTGGACATTATTAGACATTATTAGACATTATTAAACATTACTGGACATTATTAGACATTACTGGACATTATTGGACATTACTGGACATTATTGGACATTACTGGACATTACTGGACAGTATTAGACATTACTGGACATTATTAGACATTACTGGACATTACTGGACATTACTGGACATTATTGGACATTATTAGACATTATTAGACATTACTGGACATTATTGGACATTATTGGACATTATTGGACATTACTAGACATTATTGGACATTATTAGACATTACTGGACATTATTGGACATTACTGGACATTATTGGTCATTATTGGACATTATTAGACATTACTGGACATTATTAGACATTATTAGACATTATTGGACATTATTAGACATTATTGGACATTATTAGACATTACTGGACATTATTGGACATTACTGGACATTATTGGTCATTATTGGACATTATTAGACATTACTGGACATTATTAGACATTATTAGACATTACTGGACATTATTAGACATTATTAGACATTACTGAACATTATTGGACATTACTGGACATTATTAGACATTATTGGACATTATTGGACATTATTAGACATTACTGGACATTATTAGACATTATTAGACATTACTGGACATTATTAGACATTATTAGACAT